CCCTAACCCTAACCCTAATATAACTGACATTTAAACCACCAACTAATATATGACCATGACCATATATATATATATATATATATATATATTATATGTTATTATGACCATTAATGACATTAAAGCTGTATCTACATTATCATTCAAGCTGTATCTACATTATCATTCAAGCTGTATCTACATTATCATTCAAGCTGTATCTGCATTATCATTCAAGCTGTATCTACATTATTATTCAAGCTATCTAACTTACTACACTTAGTTGCCTGCAGAGTAGATTTATTAGGACGCGCTGCGTGTAATCTAAGTAAGTTTATTAGGGCTGGCTGGCTATGTGTAATGTGTGTAAGTTTGTTAGGGTAGGCCTAAACCGCTTACTCACTAAGCAGGTTTGCCAATGTAAATTTCGCGACAAGTAAGTTTATTAAGGTAAACTGTTCCTCTCAGTAAGGGAGTACATTATGTTATATTACCGATTAAGTAAACAATCTTTAATAAATTGGTAGCTGTTTCGTAGATATCAATCAATGGTTAATCGTATAGCCGGAGACAAGTCTTCTTCGCAATCGACCAAGCGCAAACTCGAGTAGGCCTCATCCACGGCCATTGGTTCGTTTGAGTCGTAGCTGGTGATCGATTAACAAATTTGTTTCGGTTCCCAACAGTATTGTCTGTAGCCACGTTGGGGTTATGCACACGTATTGGCCATCAGATCAAGCAAGAATCGGAGACGTTGCGTTGCCATATGAACTCTCAATAAATAACTGACTCTTCTCTATACTCATTTCCTGCCATAAATGAACTGGCCAAATGAGGTGGCTCTCATAGGACCGTACGAAGTATTATTAAGCCTTGTTATATGAGTTTCAAATTGCATTTTTGTTTCTGCTGTTCACGCGAGTGCAGTTTACCGCGCTCGTTGGTGTAAATGCTTAGCACCACCCGGAAAAATAATCGCAATTTATTTGATTAATATGATTGAGTGTAACTGCAATTTTAAATTATAGTAAATATTTTAGTTCAGTCGCAATTTAACCTTGAACCTTTTTTTACCCTTGTGATTAAAATTGGTAGTTGACTAAAATTTAAATTACAGTTATTTTAAACAAACAATTATATATAATATAATATATATATATATATATATATATATATATATATATATATATATAT